GCCTGCCGATGCAGGGGACACGGGTTCGTGCCCCAGTCCGGGAAGATCCCACATGCCGCGGAGCGGCTGGGCCCGTGAGCCGTGGCCGCTGAGCCTGCGTGTCCAGAGCCTGTGCTCCGCAATGGGAGAGGCCACAACAGTGAGGCCCACGTACCACAAAAAAAAAAACAAAAAAACACAACCATACAAAATCTATGGGATGCAGCAAAAGCATTTCTAAGAGGGAATTTCATACAGATCTTCCTCAAAATCAAGAAAATCTCAAATATACAACCTAACCTACCACCTAAAAGAATTAGAAAAAGAACAAACAAAACCTAAACTGAGCAAAAGGAAGGAAATAATAAATAACAGAGAGGAAACAAATAAAATAGAGATTAAAAAAATAGAAAAAAAATCAATAAAAACAAGAGCTGGTTTTTCTTCCTTTTTAAAAAATATTTATTTATTTATTTCATTGGACCAGGTCTTAGTTGCAGCATGTGGGATCTATGCTGCCATGTGTGGGATGTCAGTCGTGACATATGGGATCTTTTGGTTGTGGCATGTGGGATCTTTAGTTGTGGCATGTGGGATCTTTAGTTGTAGCATGCAGGCTCTTTAGTTGCAGCATGTGGGATTTAGTTCCCTGACCAGGGATTGAACTTGGGCCCCCTGCCTTGGGAGTGTGGAGTCTTAGCCACTGGACCACCAGGGAAGTCCCAAGAGCTGGTTCTTTGAAAGGGTAAACAAAATTAAAAGACCTCTGGACATGCTCACCAAGAAGAGGGGACACAAATAAACAAAATAAGAAATGAAGGAGGAGAGATAACAACTTATACCACAGAAATACAAAAAAAGAAAAAAACCCCTAAGAGAATACTATGAAAAATTATATGCCAATCAAATGGACAAGCTAGAAGAAATGCACAGGTTTCTAGATACATACAGCCCACCAAAACTGAATCAAGAAGAAATAGATAATTTGAACAGACTGATGAGTAGAAGTGAAATAGAATCTGCAGTTAAAAAAAGAAAAATCCTTCCAAACAAAAGTCCAGGACCAGATGGCTTCACTGGGGAATTCTACCAAACATACAAAGAACTTATAACAATCCTTCTCAAATTCTTCCAAAAGACTAAGGAGGAGGGAACACTCCCAAAGTCATCCTATGAAGCCACCATCACCCTGATACCAAAACCAGACAAAGACACTATCAAGAAAAGAAAATTACAAATCAATATCTTTGATGAATATAGATGCAAAAATTCTCAACAAAATATTAGCAAACCAAATGTAACAACACATAAAAAAGATCACACACCGTGATCGAGTTGGATTCACCGCGGATGGTTCAACATATGCAAATCAATCAACATAAGCAAATACACCACACATCAACAAAAGAAAAGACAAAAACCACATGATCATCTTAATAGATACACAAAACACATCTGACAAAATTCAACATCCACTCATGATAAAACCTCTTACCAAAGAAGGTATAGAGGGAACATATCTCAACATAATAAAAGCTAATTTATGACAAGTCACAGCCAACATAATGCTCAATGGGTGAAAAGCTGAAAGCCTTCCTGCTAAAATCTGGAACAAAACAAGGATGCCCACTCTCACCACTTCTATTCAACACAGTATTGGAAGCCCTAGCCACAGCAATCAGACAGGAAAAGAAATAAAAGGTATCCAAATTGGAAGGGAAGAGGTAAAACTGTCATTATATGCAGATGACATGATATTATATATAGAAAACCCTAAAGACTCTACACAAAAACTGCTAGTACTGATAAACAAATTCAGCAAGGTAGAAGGATACAAGATTAACATACAGAAATTGGTTTCATTTCTTTACACTAACAATGAAATATCAGAAAGGGAAAGTAGAAAACAATCTTTTAAAATTGCATCAAAAAAAAATCTAGGAATAAACCTCATCAAGGAGGTGAAAGACTTATATGCTGAGAACTATAAAACAATGATAAAGGAAACTGAAGATGATTCAGATAAATAGAAAGATAGCCCATGCTCTGGGACTGAAAGAATTAATAGTTAAAATGGCCATTCTACCCAACGCAAACTACAGATTTAATGTTATCCCTTCCAAATTACTCATAACATTTTTCACAGAACTAGAATATTTCAAAAATTTATATGGAACCATAAAAGTCCCAGAATTGCCAAAGCAATATTGAGGAAAAAGAACAAACCTAGAGGCAAAACCCTCCCAAACTTCAGACGTTACTACAAAGCTACAGTGATCAAAACAGTGTGGTACTGGCACAAGAAACAGACATATGGATCAGTGGAGTGGAATAGAGAGCCCAGAAATAAACCCACATACCTATGGTCAATTAATCTTCGACAAAGGAGGAGAAGTCTCTTTAGCAAGTGGTGTTGGGAAAGCTGGACAGCTGCATGTAAATCAATGAAGTAGAACGCTCCCTCACACCCTACACAAAAATAAACTCAAAATGGTTTAAAGACTTAAATATAAGACATGACACCATAAAAGTCTTAGAAGAGAACATAGGCAAAACATTCTCTGACATAAATCATACCAATGTTTTCTTAGGTCAGTCTCGCAAGGCAAAAATAAACAAATGGGACCTAATCAAACTTATAAGCTTTTGCACAGCAAAGGAAAGCATAAACAAAATGAAAAGATAACCTACCGACTGGAAGAAAATATTTGTAAGTGATGTAACTGACAAGGGCTTAATTTCCAAAATATACAAACAGCTCATACAACTCAATAACAAAAACAAACAAACAACCCAATCGAAAAATGGGCATAAGACCTAAATAGACATTTCTCCAAAGAAGACATACGGATGGCTAATAGGCACGTGAAAAGATGCTCAACATCGTCAATTATTAGAGAAATGCAAATCAAAACTACAATGAGGTATCACTTCACACCAGTCACAATGGACATCATTAAAAAGTCTACACAAAAAAGAGGTAAAGAAGATATCTCTTCTTTCATGCATCTGTTTAAGGAGAAATGATGTTTTGCATCCTAAATTTAGTTCAGAGAATCTGATTTGATAAAATATTGAGACCTTTCATAATATTTTTATTTTCTCGTGTCATAGGGAAACTTGTATGAATATTTACATCTATTGCTAACTTGTTATCTATGTAAGTAAATCTGTACTTGAAAATATGACTTGAATAAAGAGTCTCAAAGACTCTAAGACTTTACAAATTATTGCCATGTTCTGTGATTACAATTTTCAAAAGAAAACTGAAATTCTGATTGGTTACCTTACTGGTCATTTTTTGTAATAGGAATAACAGTGTAACTGGAATCTCTATATTTCTAAACTGTATAAATTCTTGTAAATTTCTTCTGTCTGAACAGAATAAAATAATTGGCACTCCCTCCCCGCACCAAAAAGACTTGTACACATAATAAATACTGGAGTGGGTGTGGAGAAAAGGGAACCCTCCTACACTGTTGGTGGAAATGTAAATTGGTGCAGCCTCTATGGAAAGCAGTATGGAGCTTCCTTAAAAAACTAAAAAAAGAGTTGCCGTATGATCCAGCAATCCCACTCCTTGGCACATATCCAGACAAAACTCTAATTCAGAAAGATACATGTACCCCAATGTTCATAGCAGCACTATTTACAAGAGCTAGGACATGGAAGCAACCTAAATGTCCATCGACAGATGAATGGATAAAGAAGATGTGGTACATATATACAATGGAATATTACTCAGCCATTAAGAAGAAAGAAATAATGCCATTTGTAGCAACAGGGATGGATCTAGAGATTTTCATACTAAGTGAGGTAAGTCAGAGAAAGGCAAATATCATATGATGTCACTTATATATGGAATCTAAAATATTGTACAAATGAACTTATTTACAAAACAGAAATAAACTCAGACATAGAAAACAAACTTATGGTTACCCAAGGGGGAAAGGGGATAAGTGGAGGGATAAAGTAAGAGTTTGGGATTAGCAGATACAAACTACTATATATAAAGCAAACAACAAGGTCCTACTGTATAGCACAGAGAAATATTCAATATCTTGTAATAAATCCTAATGGAAAAGTATATAAAAAAGAATATATATGTATATGTATAACTGAGTCACTCTGCTGTACACCAGAAACTAACACAACATTGTAAATAGATTTACTTCAATAAAAATTTTAAAAATTTATAAGTTAAATAAAAAAAGAATTCCTACAAATCATCAACTAAAAGACAACTCAATTTAAAAATGGGCAAGGGACTTCCCTGGTGGCATGGTGGTGGTTAAGAATCTGTCTGCCAATGCAGGGGACATGAGTTTGAGCCGTGGTCCGGGAAGACCCCACATGCCGCGGAGCAACTAAGCCCGTGTGCCACAACTACTGAGCCTGCACTCTAGAGCCCATGAGCCACAACTACTGAGCCCGTGTGCCACAACTACTGAAGCTCGTGCACCTAGAACCCGTGCTCCGCAACAAGAGAAGCCACTGCAATGAGAAGCCTGCGCACTGCAACGAAGAGTAGCCCCCACTCGCCACAACTAGAGAAAGCCTGCACACAGCAACAAAGACCCAACGCAGCCAAAAATAAAAATGATTAAAAAAAAGGGCAAAGACTTGAATAAACATTTTTCTCAAAGAAGATTTACAAAGGCAACAAGCACAAGAACCTGATAAGGAAAGACTTTAAAAAAATCTGACTTTGAATATAATGGATTTTAAGGGAAAATGTGAATGAATCCTTAGCCTGAAATGGAAACTTTCATCAAATAACAAGCTTTAAAAAAAAAATTCTGACACGACCTTAAATTTGTAATAATTGCAGTGTAACAGTGGTAGGACTAGCACATTTCCAAGCAAAATCATCAGCTACAATTACAAAATATATTTAATGATCATCATGAAATGCAGAATACCAAAACACTTAGGTTGGGCATGCTAAAGACTGTATCATCAATTGCTCTTCTGTCAATGAAATATTAGAACGTGGAGAAAGCTTCTCAACCATTTCCCACCTGCTGGCCATATTCCACTCAAGGGCTGGATTCTGAGAATTTCTTTCATTCTCTGTTAGCACCCCTCCTGTGCCACTTTCCTTCTCTGGTTTTAGTTGATCCCACTGCGCAGTACCAATATTGATGGACTGCAGATCTATTTGGTATTGTCTGTCTTCAATTTCTGATCCAGGGTCTCGAAGAATTCCTAAATTCAAGGCTCTCCTGTAAAGGCAGTGAAAAAAAAGTGAATAGATAAAATAAGTATTCTATGTTTACTTTGCCTGCTAACATCATGTTATTACCTTTTTTTTCCTTTGGATTACTGGGTTAATCAAATCTATGAGGCAGGTATTAGAAAGTTACCACATACTAATAACTTGAAAACATACCCAAAACTTAGCACTTAACAGTATCTACCCTATAATGATTTCTTACATTATTCCCAGCACTGCTATTTTTCTAAGTACTTTCACATTTATGATTTAAATCCTTGAGATGTTGTGAGGTCATATTATTATCTCCATTTTTACTAAAGAGAAAATAAGGCAGAGAGGTTGAAAGACTTAGCCAAAGTTACCTGGCGTAAACCTGAGCTACTATGTGGACAAAATTGCAACTTAAATGCAGGGTTTTGCCTCAAAACCCTGTCTTCTTTGCAATGCTAAACACCTGCTAAACACCTACTTTCCCTTCCTCATCACTCTGATGTCTTGTTAGGAAAGGTGATGAAGACTTTCTAATCTATTTAACTCCCCTACCTTTTGCCTTTGGTCCTTTATATAACCCATCATCATATAGACTAAATTGTTGACAAGAGTACCTTGCTTATTGATGTAGAAACACAGTAAGGATTACTGGTCCATAGAGTTGGAACTTTGATCTTATTGGACCCAAGGCTAAGCAAATGAATAAAATTATCAGCAGCTTAAAACTAGATTAGAGGAAGTAAATGGTTAAATGTTTCATGAAGGTTTTAGACTGAAAATAGCAAGGCAGTGTGGTAGGGTGGGAAGAAAAGCATTCAGGATTTGGAAGCTGGATAAGACTAAGTTTGTGTGAGTTTGTAATTTTTTAGTTATGTTGGTTCACAGATGCTTTAAAGTGAGTAATCAAAAGGAAAGTAACATTTGTCCCCCATGAAAGTTTCAATCAACACAAAAGTGAAATTACATAGAGGATAAAAATTGTTTTACTAGTATAGATACAATTGCAGTGATTAGAAAATACAATTAATTATATCAATTGAATACTAATAAAGCTAATTAGTGGAGGGAGAAGGGAGGGAAGCACTGAGTCCTAGTGTGAAAACTACAGAGAGACAGTATGAATGTGACCAAGACTACCTCTTGTCTAAGTAAACAGTGTGGGTCAGACCATGCCCAGAAGCTTGTCAAATACTGATGGAAGGTGGATGACCACTGAGACTCAAGATGGCAGATGTCTGGGCCAGATGCACAGGAATGGAGATGGCATGCATTAGGCCAGGGAAGGTGAGGGCTAAGGCTAATGAATTCAAGTGAAGAGAGGAGCAGGGAGAGGACTGCAAGTGAATGAACAGGCAGCTCAGGTAGGGAAATATCACAAGGTGTTAACGATAAAAAAAAACAAACAAAAAAGAGAACAGGGAAACAAACAGGCATTGGTCAAGAAGTCATGGTGGGAACCAGAGAAACTGAATGAATGGACTCTCATTATTCCTAAGGTAAGAGCTGAACCTGGTTTTTGTTTTCTTTTTTCTAACTTAGAAAATTACAATCTAGGAATGGGCATGCAAGGAAAGGTGGATTGAAGTTTTACATGAACCCAAGAATTGCCTTAAAAATAGGGCCCATAAAATCGGCCATGAACCCTTTCATTTTGCCTTAATGAAGGCAAAGAAAAAAGGAGTGAATGGGGGTGCAGGTGAGAGGGAGCAACATTGTGAGTACACCTATTTTGGTCAAATGCTCTCCTTTCATTTGAATATTGGCATAAACCTGTTAATTCTAAAGGCACAGCTCGAACTTCACTTTCTATGAAGCCTTTCCTGACAACCATTTCTTCAAACTCCCTTCCTCCCAAATCTGTGCTCTTAGGGTCCTTCTGTACTTATAAGTACAAGAATATCACAATGACCTGTCGGTCTTTCTCAATATAGCATACATTTCTTTTTTTTTTTTTTTTTTTTTTTTTTTTTTTTTTTTTTTTTTTTTTGCGGTACGCAGGCCTCTCACTGTTGTGGCTTCTCCCGTTGCGGAGCACAGGCTCCGGACGCGCAGGCCCAGCGGCCATGGCTCATGGGCCCAGACGCTCCACGGCATGTGGGATCCTCCCAAACCGGGGCACGAACCCGTGTCCCCTGCATCGGCAGGCGGACTCTCAACCACTGTGCCACGAGGGAAGCCCCTAGCATACGTTTCTTGAAGTCAGAAACTACATCTCCTAGTAAGCAATCAGTAAATGCTGTTTCAATTCACTGATTTGAACTGACACAAATGTTTACAAATCTCAAGTGGAGAATCTATCTGTCCACAGCAATAAGAACACACAGTCTTTAGACAGTAACACTGCTGCTGCAGGGCCACATAAACTCTGACATACAGCAAATATCTTTGGCAGTGGGTGGCCTAGCTTATTTCCCTAGATTATTATTCCCCATATAAAAGTTATATTTACTTATTTTAAACTAGCCAATGCTTTCTACAATTTACATAAATTCCCTAAGCCTACTTTTAAAGAAAAAATACTTATAAGAATCCCTTTGAAGGAAGAAAAAGTATGTTTGGAAATAAAATTAGTACTATATTAAAAGACAAACAAAGCAACCTAGCCCAACATTAACATCAGCCTTTCTATTTTTCTTGGCACTTGCAGAAACTGCAAAGTCATAAGATAAAAACCAGAGAAACACCAAATGTCATTAGTTTTCACCTACGCTTGAAATGCCCCATATTTACTCTTGGCCTTAAATCAAGCTATTTTCCTCCTGTCATCTGTCTGTGGAAAACATGACTTTCCACAGGTTCTTCTTCTCATGTAAAAATGCGTTGTATATTGAGCAATAGCTTAATACTTCTAAACATGCTAATTTCAAACTTTTAAGTTTTCTAAGAACCAGGGTTTGAGATTTTACACTTTTCTTTCTGTTTGCTTTTGAAATTGAAAAATATACTTGTCATTTTAACCTGATTTGAAAGTTCAGATAAATGTACAGTATATGGGTATATAAATCCAACTTAAAAGTTAATTGCAAAACCATTTAAATCTGAGATGTAGAAAATAGGATAAGCAAAAGACTCATGTGAACTCTGGTCTCAGATTTTTCAATGATCCATGAGCTTGGAGAAATTATTTAACTTCTCTGCTTTGATTATTTCAATATTAAAACTATTATAGAAATAAATAAAATGTATGACTGAAAATTAAACTTTTTTTTTTTCTTTTGATGTACGCGGGCCTCTCACTGTTGTGGCCTCTCCCGTTGCAGAGCACAGGCTCCGGACGCGCAGGCTCAGCGGCCATGGCTCACGGGCCCAGCCGCTCCGCGGCATGTGGGATCTTCCCGGACTGGGGCACGAACCCGTGTCCCCTGCATCGGCAGGCGGACTCTCAACCACTGTGCTACCAGGGAAGCCCGAAAATTAAACTATTCATAAAGAGGTCCATTATAAATTTTATGACCATTCCTGAAGTACATTATCTTACATGGTTTTGAATGAATAATATATCTAATTGTCAACTAATCATAGATGCACAGCACCATGATAAAACAAAGTCAACTTTTCTAATTATGAAAAAACTATTAATGAAAACTATAAAGATAAATGCTCTTTAATATTTCCATGGTTACCTGTTTCCAAAATATGGCATATTAGAAAGTCAGAGTGAATCTTCTGATTGAAACAAGTAAAATGCTTGCAGACAATTTAAAGCATCTTGTTAAACACATTTCAGAGCTGACACTAGAGAACAGAAGGTGCAAAGCCACCCCAAAAAAGTGAAATTAGGAACACTAATAAATAAGCACCTGCCAAAGCCAGCTTTTGCTCTTAGGGTTTCTGCTGAATTCTGTAGAGAGTGATTTTCTGATAATCGCACAGGAGGAGATAAAGCTCAAGGCCCACCTAAGGAGATGGATGAATCTATTTATAGGAGACTGCATAAAAAGCGGGGGTCACGAAGGGCTACATCAACCTTCAAAGGGTGAATTAAAAACAGCTCTCCTAGGAAGACTTGTGATAGAACAGTTCTGTGTCTTGACTGTGACGGTGGTTACATGAATGTACATATGCGCTAAAACTGCACTAAACTAGACACACATATAGACATATAAATACAAATGATTAAAAATAAAACTGGTGAGGGGAGTCCCCGGTGGTCCAGTGGTTAGGGCTCCATGCTTCCACAGCAGGGGGCACGGGTTCGATCCCTGGTCAGGGAACTAAGATCCTGCATGCCACGTGGCATGGCCAAAAAACAAAACAACAACAAAAACCTTGTGAAATCTGAATGCAATCGTGGATTGTACTGATGTCAATTTCCTGGTTTAGATATTGTCTTATAGTTATGCAAGAAGTTATGCAAGATCTGAAACCATAAAACACCTAGAAGAAAACACAGGGGTGTCTGCTCTATGACACTGGTCTTGGCAATGATTTTTTGGATTTGATACCAAAAGCAAAGGTAACAAAAGCAAAAATAAACAAGTGTGACTATATCAAACTAAAAATCTTCTACTCAGCAAAGGAAACTGCCAACAAAATGAAAAGGCAACCTCTAGAATAAAAATATTTCAAGTATATGTCTGATAAGGGGTTATACTCAAAATATAAGAGGAACTCATATAACTCAATAGCAAAAAACAACCCAATTAAGAAAACCAGCAAAGGATCTGAAGACATTTTTCCAAAGACATGTAATTGGCCAAAAGGTATTGATACATGAAAAGGTGCTCACTAATCATCAGGAAAATGCAAATCAAAACCATAAAGAGACATCACCTCATACCTGTTAGGATATCTATTAGCAATAAGACAAGGGATAATAAATGCAGGGAGGATATGGAAAAAAGGGAACCCTTGTACACTGCTGGTGGGAGTGTAAACTCATACAGCCACTATGTAAAACAGTATGGAGGTTCCTCAAGGAATTAAAAATAGAACCAGCTATGACCCAGCAATCCCACTTCTGGGTATATATCCAAAAGTAATGAAATCATTAATCGCAAAGAGATATCTGTACTC